GCGTCCCGGCCTCACCGTAGCGCCGGCCGGCCCTCCAGGCGCGCACGGCGCAGTGCAGGACGCCGTCCATCCACACCAGGAACCAGCTGATGCAGAAGCCGAGCAGCAGCCCCAGCATGAGGTCGATCTCCTGCTTGGTGACGTTGTCTGTCACGAAGTAGTTCTCGGAGGCGTCCACCACCGACTGGTCCCCGTCGTACGGGATCACGTAGTGGATGTGGTGCCTGGGGGAGCAGGGTGGGCTGGCACCTCTCCCGCGGGGCGCGCGGGGATCCCTGCTGGGGTCTTCGAGGCAGCCCTGTGGGAGCTGGGGTCCGGAAGGGGCCAGCGGACTCTTCCAGGGCCCCAGTCCCCAGGTGGAGGCTGCCCGCGGGGCGGGCGCGTGCGAGGTCAGTGGTCAGAGTGAAGTCTGGGGACCGGCCAGGGGCGGGTCCGCCCACGCATCGCCCCTCCCTCCTCTGCCCCGCCTGGGGCTCAGCGGCGAACCTGTCGGGGTCACGGGAACAGTGCAGGTGGACGGCTCGTTCGGAAGTGAGGGCCCGGGGCTGGGTGTCCCATCTGGTGGCAGGCTCACAGCCCTCCTGCCGGAGGCGGGGCTGACATGGCTTCCGGGACTGCCCCTCTGGCTTCTCCCTCCCGCCAGACACTCACCATACCCTTTCCTCAGCTTCCCCTCCGGGAAAGCCAAGTGTTGTCAGCCCTGCCCTGGGCCTCTGGTCTTCCTTCTGCTCCTCCATCCCCAATGCCGTCCAGCGCCCCATCCACTCACCCCTCATGGGGGTGCCCCCCGGCCCATGCCTTGCATGGATCTGCATGTCTGCTGGCTGCTCTGCTGCTGCTCCCAGATGGACGGTGTTGCAGCTGTCCAGGATGCCCTGGACCGCAGCCCCTCCCCTGCATCCCAGCACCCAAGGCCCGTGGCATGCCTCTCAGTCTCTCCTCCCTGGACTGGCCAGATTCAGGCCACTGAACCCTCCAGGCCTTTGCTTGCCTTTGAGGGACACACTGAACCCTCCTCGCAGGGCTCCCTCAAGCCTTAGGCCTGCCCTCTGGACCTGGTGACCCCAGGTGGGGCAGCCCTGCCCAGAAGACGGCACTCAGGAAAATACTCTGGGCTCTCCCCTCCCCCTACCGACAAGAGAGCCTGGGAGCCCAAGGCACAGTGGTCCCTGTGCCCTGAGCCCCAGTCGTCCTCGCAGGCAGCAGCCCTTCCTCTTGAACTGCAGTGCAGGGGCCACCCCGGTGTCCCCTTGCCCAGGGCCATCTCTCCTGGTTTCCCCTCCCCTCCCTGAGCCCCTTTGCTGGCTTCTCCCTCTCCATCTCCACCCCCTCAAGTCCCTGCCGGCCCCCACATCACCCCCGCTCAGCTCTGCTCGAGCTCCAGCTGCCTGCCTGCCATCTCCACGTGGGATCTACAGACACCTCAAACTCACACCTAAAAATAGCTCCTCCCTCCCCAAACCTGCTTCTCCCCATCTTCTCTTCAGTAGATGTCACACCTCCGCCTGGTCTTCAGGGGAGATAGGTCCTTATCCCCACCCCACCTCCTGCCCCCTTGCCACTGGCCATGCTCCACTCCCCTGAGAGACCTTCCCCAAATGGAGACCCTATCAGTCCTCCCTGACCTCGGACACCTGCTGCACCTCCTCCCTCATGGATGCCCCTGCACTGGCAGGGGCCACACGACTTCCTCCTGGTGGGGTCAGGGGAGTCCAGGAGCCCCAGGCCAGCAAGGAGCCCTCTCCTCAGCTCTCCTGATCCTCCTGGGGATCCCTGGAGGCCATCTTGCTCAGCGCGCCCAGAAGGTGATCAGTCCAGTGGCTGGGGCCTGGGCTACCCATTGCTTAGCTGATCAACTTGTCAATAGCCATTGTGAATCATCAATAAGTGATGGGAAACTATCGCTCTCCACCTAGAGTGTGCAGTAGCTGCCGGCCCCCAGGGGAGGACACCCTTCGTGACCCATTAGCGGTCCCCATCACTGAGGGCTGGCCAGGCCTCACGGGGGCTGATGACACTGAGCACCACTATCCTCTCCTGCCCTCCCCAGCCTTCTGGGCCAAGGACTCCGCCGGGCCTTCCTCAAGGCAGCTGCTTCCTACCCCTGGACGCACAGCTGGTCAGGGCAGGACACTGAGGACTGAGTCGCCAAGGAAACTAGAAATGCCCCTGGTGCCCTGAAGTAGGATGAGGCCAGGGCCCCAGGCACCTGGGTGGCTCAGGATCTCCAGAGGTTGAGGGGGTCACAACCTGCGCCCCCATTGCTGGCCTGGCGTCTGCAGCTCCTCCCCTGCCCTTTACCCCCTCCTTCCAACGCAGGCCCTGGGGGTGGGGGCTCAGGTCCCCCATGTGCATACATAGTTCCATGACATGTACATGTGTCCTGCCTGGGCCACGCATGCTGCATGTGTCTACTTGAGGCTTGATGCATGTTGTGTATACGCACCAGCCGCATGCACAGGACATGGCGTGTATACTGTGGACAGGACTCTGAGCTGCACGAGTACGCATGTGCACGCTTGCCCAGGCACGAGAGTGGTGCGTATCACATAGAAGCACATGCACGTGGCTTTGCACACAGCCGTCCTCTCTGCTGGCACCGCCGCACATGCATAGGTCATGTGCACAGACACCACCTCCTAGCACGCACACATTGGAACATTAGTTTACATACATGTCCTCCATAAAGTTCTGCGTATAGGCATGTAGAAAGCATGCACACGTCTGCATGCTCACTGCTCGCAGTGTGGCCATGTGGGCACTCCATGTGTAAAAAACTACTCTGCAGACAAGTCGGCTATACCTGCATGGAGCACACCGGTCGCTGTGTGTCGTCTACACGCACTGTGCACACATATAGATGTTGCCGATACACGACACGCTGTACACTGAGTTCACATATCCTCCATGTTGTGATGTGTACAAAGCACACACAAGCGGACGCACACTCAGAAACACTCCCTATGGCAGGCATGGCCCTCCATGTCCCCTGCACCCACAGACACGCTAACCTGTGTGCACAGGCCCCGCCCAGCTTCTACGCCACACACACCTGTTTACATGAGTCCATGTGCTCTGGACTCCGCATGTGATGCACACAGACACACCGGTGCTAACACACCCTGTCTGTCCTCAGTAGGTGGTCACAGGCATCGCCAGCTGGTCGCGGCACAGCAGTGCCCGTGATGGCAACGTGTTAGTAATGCTGCCAGAGCTCGGAGCGGCCCCGTGCTGTGCACGCTGCTGGGCCCGGGAGGGTCTCCGGGCCGCCCCAGTCTACACCCATTCACAGTTGGGGCTACCCCAGGAGGCTGTGAGCTGACCGCAGGCAGGAACAGAGTCCCTGGGAAATACAGCCACTCAGCAAACTCTCTCCATGATTCTGGGCTGGCACAGTCCAGGGCTGTAGGCACGGCGTCCCCACCTGCCCGGAGGTCTGGTCTGCACCCACGGGCACAGAGCATACCAAGAGAGGCACGACGTGCCATCTCACCCCCGTGCCATGCCCTGGAGCAGGGGTACGGGGCAGGAGTGAAGAACACAAGTTCTGGGGGTTGTGCCGTGTCCCTTACTAGCGGTGTGACCTTGGGCAAGTCCCTATCTGCTCAAGCCTCTGTGTGCTTTCTCACTGAGCCCAGCGCCCTGCGGGGCTGAGGGTGTGCGTGCGAACATGCACATGCGCTGCGTGTGCGCACACGTATATGCACAGACAGTACACACACTCGCGTCTCATGAGATGTTTATTTCGTATGTGGACGTACAAACATGCATGGCCAGGAAGACTTCATCATTCCATGTGCACAGAATGGGGGTCGCACAGTGGGTGCAGGGGGCCTGGGCTCTCCCCCTGTCCCTGCGTGACCTTGAGCAAGCTCCACCCCCCCTGGCCTCAGTCCCTCCTCTGTACAGGGACAGGGGGCTGGGCACTGCCCACCCTGACTCGTCTGCACTTCCCTGCACTTGGCCCCCAGTAAAGTTCATGGACACAGCGCAGGACAGGGGCCGGTGCTGTGGGCACGGCCCTGCCCTCCCAGAACGCGGGGCTGGGCTGCTGCTCGCTCAGCCTCCAGGGCCTGGACCCAGCGGCCCAGCTGGTCTGCCCATCACCCTTTCTCTAAAGGCATTTGGGAGGGGGTCCTAACTGACTCAGGTGTGCTCCCCACCCCGGAAGCGGGAGGCCAACCCTGGGGTGCCCACAGGAGAAGGACAGTCCTTCCCCCACCGAGCCTCCGAGGGCCTCAGCAGCCCCTCTGGCCTAGCGCGGCCCTTCACTGGCCTGCCCGGGGCTCCGCGCACCCCAGTGGGCCCTGGCACCCACACATGTGTGATCACGCGTATGCCCTGCCAGGCTCAGACTCACCGGCCACAGTTGCAGTGGCAGACGCGGTCCTCGCCCCGCAGGTGCGGGAGGATGTAGTTGTGGAACCGGTCCAGCAGCGCGTTCATGTCCATCAAGCACGCGATGGCCTGGGAGAGCCCATGGCCGGTCAGAGCCAGGAGCTAGCCGGCGGGGCGCCCAGGTGGGGGCCGGCGCGCTGCGGGTGGGGGAGCGCAGCCGGGAGAAGGGAGTGCGGGCCAGGGGTAGGGGTGCTCTGGACAACCCGGGATGGGGGACCGCAAGCCGGGGATGGGGGTGCGC